TTCATAGACAGTATTTTGTAGACCTCGATCAAATCACTAAAAAATCTCCTATATGCTAGTGTTGGTAGTTTCTGTAGTCTCTCGGTGTATAATATGTCGTTTAGACACATGTACTTGCTTTGTTACTTGACGTTGAACATTTTCCATTGTTTCTGTGTGCTTTTCTTGGTAATGGCACCAGACTTGATTTGCATATTCAATGTGCCAAATACGTATACAACAACTTAAAGCTCTCCAAGTTTTTATACTCTATTGTTTGCTGTGGAGCTGCATTATTGAGAACTTTATTCTCTTTCTCGGATATGTGTTTATCAAATGACAATTTTTTGTCTTTACTGACATCAATGTCTTTTTCAAAGTTCACAATATATATGTACCAATCACACTGATAATATCAGCAATCAAATGAAGAACTTTAAAGATTATAAACAGTCATATGTGAATCATCTTACTAATTACAGTACTGAAACAGAGAAACAGATCTGGTAACTTATCAATTACAGTACTGAAACAGAGAAACAGATCTGGTAACTTATCAATTACAGTACTGAAACAGAGAAACAGATCTGGTAACTTATCAATTACAGTACTGAAACAGAGAAACAGATCTGGTAACTTACTAATTACAATACTGAAACTGAGAAACAGATCTGGTAACTTATCAATTACAGTACTGGAACTGAGAAACAGATCTGGTAACTTACTAATTACAATACTGAAACTGAGAAACAGATCTGGTAACTTACTAATTACAATACTGAAACTGAGAAACAGATCTGGTAACTTATCAATTACAGTACTGAAACAGAGAAACAGATCTGGTAACTTATCAATTACAGTACTGAAACAGAGAAACAGATCTGGTAACTTATCAATTACAGTACTGAAACTGAGAAACAGATCTGGTAACTTACTAATTACAATACTGAAACTGAGAAACAGATCTAGTAACTTACTAATTACAATACTGAAACTGAGAAACAGATCTGGTAACTTATCAATTACAGTACTGAAACTGAGAAACAGATCTGGTAACTTACTAATTACAATACTGAAACTGAGAAACAGATCTGGTAACTTATCAATTACAGTACTGAAACTGAGAAACAGATCTAGTAACTTACTAATTACGATACTGAAACTGAGAAATAGATCTGGTAACTTACTAATTACAATACTGAAACTGAGAAACAGATCTAGTAACTTACTAATTACAATACTGAAACTGAGAAACAGATCTAGTAACTTACTAATTACAATACTGAAACTGAGAAACAGATCTGGTAACTTATTAATTACAGTGCAGATATTGAGAAACTGTCTAGTAAGTGTCATGACTGTCTGTTTGGGCAAGACACATTTTTCATCTGAATTGCTGTCAATGGCATGTGACAAGCCTCCCAGATGTTGTTCGGTGAGGCAGTCACCAGCTGAGAGCCTGCCAGAAAATGACCCTGACTGTCAATGGGACGATTAACCCAGCAAACAAACTATATACTGATATATACCTGGCCCCACTTGTATAAAACATCTCAACTTGAGATTTCCTCAAGTCGAGATTTTCCTCATCTGATATCTCGTCAAAAACGGCTTGTATAAAATTTTCTCAAGGAACAGGAGGAAGGCATCGGCTAGGATGTCCTGAAATTCCTTGAGGAATTTTCATACAAGATATTTTCAAGGAGATATTAGCTGAGGAAAATCTTGACTTGAGGAAATCTCAAGATGAGATGTTTTATACAAGTTGGGCCTGGGTATGCAAGTAATACTGTGATTACTCCCAAATGTACATTTTCTATCAACATTTTCCTGTTAATGATAAAGAAATGCTATTTTTAAGTTCAGACATAATTATTGATTAAGGAATACAAATAATTTTAGACTAATTAATGTTAATGTGATTACACTGTAAAATATTTTAAATTAGTACTACTTTTTTTAAGGGAAATAATTCATAAATTAAGTTAAGTTTATATTTTGTTAAATCAAACTCGTCAGTTTCATTTACTTCTCCGTCCAGGATGAAGATATGGAAATGAAATGTGTGAAGTAATTGTGTTGCACACTCCAAGTTATTTACATCTTCCTGGTCTTTGTATTACATGACAGTGATATAATCTTAAAAGTCAGAATACACCTGTACATGTCTGACTAGTTCCTATTAAACCCTAATCAATAACACAAAAATTCCCTTAGATTTCTTGGTTGCTTCATCACAGACGTAAAAGTACAAGTATAAAAGTCCTTTACTACATTTGCATACATACATTAACATGTAACTTGATTTGTTTGGCAATGTTAATTAACATAACTTCAGATATCTGTATAGCACTGTAATTGTCTCACATGTACACACAGTCAGGGTGAAATTAAGTTTCAAGTGACTGGTCATAGATATCAACTTTTTCTCAATCATCATTTACGTGAAAAGATATAAAACCATGTCATTTGGATTTAAGGCAATTGCATGAGGTCATAGGTACAATGAAATTTTGCCTATGGTAAACATCAATATCATGAACTTCAAGGATTAATTAAATTTTTTCCTCCTGATCTACATTTAATATTGTGAACATCAATATTTGCTCAAAGCATTACAAAACAATGTTCATTGGATTGATGGACACATTCAAAAGATTGTTCCTCATGGCTATGAATAAAACTTCTACAATGAAATCATTACTACATATACGTGTATGCATACCAGGAACACAACAAACCATGAAATTGTCGTCTCAAATGCACATTTTTCCTATTTGTGTAAAACTCATGAGATATTGAAGAGGAAGTTTGGTGGGGGGGGGGGGGGGTGGGTCCGGTACCTGATTCCTGGTATGTACAAATGTAAACTTATACATGTATTAGTTAAGCTTACTATGACTTAATTGATGAGTAGATAATTATGAACTGTGATTTAATCTTATTGTACTTAATTATACTTTGTAAATGTTTATATCCTGATTAGATAAAAACACTCGTTCTGTTATTTACTGGTTCAGATTTTTTGTTTGTTGCTTATTGCGTGCTAGCTTTGCAATAACTGTATTGCCCCAAAGGACAGTCTGTAGGGTCAGTTTTGAGAAAGAGTCTCCTTGTTACACGCTGGCTATCTCACTGAATAACCTATGATAGGCCTGTCACATGCCATCCAGAACATTTAGGTTAAGCTGTATTGTACAAGTTAAAGGACACAATCATGTCAATACAAACTGGCTCATTTCTGTTCTTTTTGAGAAATACAAATTGCCACAAAGAGGAAGTGTTGAACCATGCACCTTGGATCTTCACCAGTTGTAAAAAAATCTCTCCCTGACTACATTGCGGTATCCCAGTAACAACTCTGTAAACAAATCAGGCCATTTCAGGATTATTTTAAAACATATTTTGTCAAATAATGAAGTATTTCATTGTTTTTCTGTTTTGTTATTTCTATTATTATTTGAACATAGATGAAAAATGACTGAATTAGTTTATATGGTTATAAACATTATGGATTATATAGATCAGTGAAGATCAGTTTTAAGTAAACAGTCACCAACCCTTATGTTTACATTTTGTACTTTCACTTTTCAACTACCAATGTGTTCTGGAGATACATGTTGATATATTCTGATACTAGTGATATTTGATGATAATTTGGCTACAATATTGACTTATAGATATAACCTCTCAAAGAAGCCCAAATGTTTTTTATGCATATCAATGACAAAACTCTACATTTGTGTCGTTTGTTGTTGAGATTGCGAATGTAATGTACATGTGGTTCAGTGTTTAACTAACAGAAATATTGCTGCCCTCGATCAGACATATACACGGTAGGTCTCATAATGGTCTATAATGTACATTTTACTACAGTCTTGACAGCTACAATTCAAATAAAACAAAACCAATAAGTAGTTATACTTTAGAGGATGTGTGCATTCTATTTTCATCAACATGAGGTCTGGATATGGAAAATTGAATAGGGGTGAGAGGGGCTTTTGCTGTACAGGAAGTTGACTGTGATTACAACTATCATAACTGATAATATCAGAAAGTTGAAATGCTGGATAATCTCATCAGGAGGTACTGACTGAACCATAAACCGCGGTTACCCATTCTGATGCTACTTTTAAGACACTTATTCATTGAGGTTTAAATTAGTAGAATTGTGCCAAGAGAGTCTAGAACACCCATTCCAAAATTGTGATGACCACAGAGTGAAGCATGATTCCAGGACTTAAATATCTGAGCCCCAAAAATCACGGTTATCGTTTATGTATATATATGAGAGAACAAATTGATACTTTTGACTTATGTCATTACTCGACATCGGTATATTGGCATCAAGTCATTTCCTTTGTGTACATGCACAATATTAAGTTTTTAGCCCATACTAGATGGTGTGCTATCCAAATCACCCTGACTCTGTATTTTGTCGTCTATCCATGAACAATTAGAGTTATTGCTATTATTTGAGAAGTACTGGATGGTTTTTTCTCAGTTTTATATGTAGCTCACCTTAGTTGTGCTGTTTTGATTTTGGGACTGATCAAAGTAAACCTTTGGCCATCTTGGTTTTTGACAATGTAAGCTTGTTCTAAATTGCTATTTCATTAGTAACATTGGAATAATCTTTCTCAAACTGCATTCATAGGTTTGTCTCTGTCTCTAGATGAATGTTTATGATTTTGAAACTGATCAGAAAAACAAAGAGCTGACAGGGGACCATCTTGGATTTGTCAGTTGTAGATTATTAAGAGGAATTTTCAAATGTGATATTTGAGCTTAAACAAAGAAAAGAAGACAAAAGGAAGCAAAAGTTTTGAACCAAATAAAAACTCAACAATGTTCATTGGGCACCAAGCTCCCTCTGTGATCTGTTAGGTTGTCATCATTCTGTTATTTTTAAAATGTTTTCGAAAATTTGGAATGTTCATTTTTCTATTGCTGTAAAATTGTTCAGTCGAACATCTGTTTTTATTCCCTCTTTATTTCTTTTGTATTTTTCAGGCTCCAACATGGGGAAGAAAAACTCCATGCTGACCCTGTTAAAATGTGACCTGTGCTGTATGTTTTCTACCAAGAATGCCTATATCTTCAAGCGCCACAAGATCCGATGTAAACGTGAGAGGTACACAGAGGCCCATGCCCCTAAACAAGACAAGGTGAAATTAAAATTTTCAGGTGCCTCATTGTTTGCATCAGCCTCAACATCCAGATTACCAAAACTTGAACTAGAAGAGCCCAGTTCTCCAGCAGATGAGGGCGTTGAATTGCCTTTGGAATCGAGTGACTGCAATAATCAGACTGAAGAAGAACCAGCTTCTATCAGTTCACCACCAACTGAAACCTATCGAAAAGGAAATGTATATTGTAGAACATACCGTTGTACAGAGTGCACTTACTGGACCAACAAGTCAAAGACTTTCCTGTATCACCTTATTAACACCCATCATAAAAACCTCAGTATCTTCTCCTGTAACTTCTGTGAGTATGCCTGCAAGCACCGCCACAAAGTACAGCGCCACCTTAAGTTAGTTCACCGCTACAATATTGATATTGATGATGTCAAAATTGAATACCAAACTGAAATTGCAGCTGCCAATTACAAGAGCAAATCTCCAAAAACACCAGCAGAAAGCCCTGTTAAAAACATTGCTCCACTGAAAGTGAAAATTGCCCTGACAACTACTGCCGGTCGACAAGCAGCCCGCGGTAAAGACATCTTACCTGTTGGCTATGAAAACCACATAGTGGAGCTGACATCAGGAGGCAAGAAACTCTTCAAGTGCAAATACTGTCTGTTCAACAATGCTGACAAGTATCGTGTGTCTAAACATGTACAGTGTATACACATCAATGCAAGGACCTACAAATGTAACATCTGCAGCTTTACTACGGTTAAGAAGAAAGACTATTATTCCCACAAGTCCAAACACAGCGGTAAAACTGCATACAAGTGTATGGAGTGCGACTATACTTCTGACTTCAAACCAAATTTAGACCGTCACAGACTCAACCACACCAACAATTACAGCATCAAGTGTAAATTCTGTACCTACTCATGTGACCATGAGGGTACTGTCAAGCGTCATATGGCCAACAATCACACTAACAGTGCTGAAAATGTGTCCCTGATTTTCCCTGATGCTGACACTTCTGTTGAATGTACTATTGATGAAGCTCCTCCCGATGGTGTGAAGCTTACAGTAGCCTCACCAGTTCTTGGCAAACAGAAAGGTACATCTTTGAATATATCTGACAGTGAAATTTTAAGTGAGGGAATTCCTAGCCTTCAGACAGTAGAGGGAAGCTTCTTCTGTCCCCTTTGTGGGCTCAAGTACAAACGTTCTTCTGACCTGAATCGCCACATGAAATTAAAGCATAAGATGACTGTGAAACAGTATCTACGTGATATTGACCTATATGCAAATACTTCAGCGCCAAATCTAGCAGAAGCAGAGGTTGAGCAGCAGCAAGAGGAGGCTGGGGATGGACCATTGGACCTTTCTGTGTCCTCCAAAGATGTAGATGATATTACGGACAAGGACAGTCTCAAATGCTGCTACTGTACCTATATCGCAAAGTGGCCCAGTGATCTGCAACGTCACATGGTCGTTCACACTGTAGAGAAACGATATAAGTGTCCACACTGTAATAAACAATACAAGTATGTTGGTGACCTTAATGTCCACCTCAGACGGGATCACAAAAAAGAGCCTGGCTCAGTCAAACATGTTAAGGTTCCTACTATTCCTAACCGCAAGTCCTCACCTGCTATATTTAAATGTCCATCTTGTTCGTTCACATCTCCATGGAAGTCAGAGGTTGATAGACACTCCAAACTCCATAAGGGTGACAAACCCTTCTGTTGCAAACATTGTGTATACCAGACACACTGGAAGGGCGACATTCGCAGACACATGTACAAACATCACCCGGCTGTCATGGTGGATGATGTAGTATTGGATGATGTTATCACCATCCTGACAGACAAGCTACCAGGAAAGGACAAGGATGTTACTGAACCATTGGATGGTGAGAAAATGGAGATTGAAAGCAATTCTAGTCGTGACACAGACCAGGTATTTGATGAAGATGATGATGATGACAGTGATTCAGAGTCCTCACCATTGAAAGCATCGCCGTCAGGTCTATATCGCTGCAATTACTGTGACTTTATTACCAATGCGAAATCCAAGCTAAAAGCACATGTATCAACCCATACAAACCTGAAGCAATACATGTGTCCTGTATGTGGACGACGTGCCAACTGGAAGTGGGACATCAGGAAACACATTAGAAAGGATCATCCAGACACTGTCCTTGACGTGGTAAAACTCAGCCGGCAGGAGGCTGAAGCCACCATCCAGACGTATTTGGACACCATGCCAGTGGTGCGTCGAGATCACCACCTCAATGTTCCTGCTACCAATGAGGAGGATGGAGAGGCAGGCAAACCTGGCAACAGTTTTGTCTGTAGTGCCTGTGATTACAACTCTAGTACTCGTGTCGCTGTGAGTAGACACATTCGTAACTCACACAGTGGTTTGAATGTAGACATCATCTGCTTGGTCGAAGAAGATGTAGATGAAGAAATCCAGATAAAAATCCCACGTATGAGCTTACCTACGGAGCCTAAGATGTCCACTCCAGTAGTGGCTTCTGATACTTCCACAAGCAATCTTCCACCATTTTATGTATCAGAACCAGGAGATAAAGACAAGCCTTACAAATGTGTGGAATGTGGAAAAACTGGAAATATTAAAGCCGACATTAGAAAACACTACCATTATAGGCATCCTAACCAGCCTATCAAAATTTGGTACACTGACGATAGTGGGACTAAGATGCTTCCAGAAGAACCTCCCATACCACGCAACAACAAAAGGAAGTTGTCATCATCCTCATCCACCTCAAGCATGCGCGAGATTGAAAAGACCCCCAGCAAGGGCGTAATGAATGATGTAGAAGCCACTCCAGAGAAACAGACCCCTGAGTTTGCACAGAACCGGGTCTCGGCAGCTAGTCTTATTAAACCATTTATGTGTGGGGATTGTGGAAAACGTAGTGCTACAAAGGCAGATATTAAGAAGCACTATAACTATATCCATCCAGGATTGGAGGTAAGGGTGTTTTACCAAGAAAATCCAAATGCACCACATGACAGATTTAATACCACGGTACCAAACAGTCCAACAACTCCTGTCTCATCTCCAGCAAAGGGGCCTTCACCTGGCAGACGGCCTTATAGTAATTATCCTGGAGGACTGCCTATTGCTTCAGCTGATCCGAAAGTATTTGGCTACTGTAAGCCATTCCAGTGCTCTGACTGTGGACGCCGGTCCAACTGGAAATGGGACCTAAATAAACACATTAGAATGAAACATCCTGGCAGTACGACAGCCCATATGATCGCACTGACAGAGGCAGATGCTCGTGCTACCCATGATGAGTATATGGCACAGTTCAGCCAGACCACTCATGTCTCCAGTGCATACAAAAAGGCAGTAATGCAGGAAGCTGAGAAGGCAACCAAGACAACAAGTCCACAAAATGTACCTAGCAAGGGAGTCTACAAGCAATTCAAATGCTCTGGATGTCCTTACAGATCTAACTGGCGAAGTGACATTGTACGCCACACGAAACGTAAACATGGCGGGCGCTCCAGACTGGTTGTCATGGATACAGAGGAGGCAAAAGTGTCATTGATGGAATATAACTACAATCCAAGGAAAAAAAGAGAGGCTGATGAAAATTCTCAGTCGAAAAACAACAGTGGTCTATCAAATATATGGAAGTGTGGAAAATGTTCATTCAAAAATCTTGACAGAACTGTTGTGATCAACCATCTTAGTATGCACAATGTGAAGGCCTACAAATGTTCTATCTGTAACTATGCCACCAACTATCGAAGCTCTGCCTGTAGACATATTCGGGTCAGGCATCATAGTGAAAATTTGTCCCTCTGTAGGTCTGCTATCAAATGTGTCAAGCAAGGCAAGGATGGGCAGATGATGGAGCCAATTGACAACAGAGAAAGGGAGGACTTTGACTGGAAGGACGCAGAGCCAGATGATCATTATGATATGTTCAAGTGCAAATTGTGTGGATTTCAGTCCAGCTGGAGATCTTGTGTCACAAGGCATCTGCGCGAGAAACACAAAGGTGGAGGAAGCAAAGGAAAAGTGCTTAGAGTACGAAAGTATTTCAAGGATGAAAAAAGATCCAAAGGTGAGGTTCGTGTCACAGAGCGGCGATTCAAGTGTGATGTATGTCCCTACCGTACTGACAAGTCCAACCTACTGCAGTTCCACATGAGCTGTCACAAGGCCCAGCCAGGTGCCCAACAGGTCAAGTGTCCTTATTGTCCATACTTTGTTGTGGCTCAGAGACTTCTCCGTCAGCATATCAAACTTCATGAGGGAAATGTTTATAAAGAAACTACTACAAGTACTACCAAAGAGGTGGTTTTCCCAACTCCCACAACACCCGTTAAGACTGTTGCGCCTAGTATTCCTACCACTCCGAAGCGTCACCGCTGTGAGAAGTGTCCTTACACCAGTAATAGTAAGAATGATTACCTCTACCACAAGCAGTTCCACAAGCCAAAGGAGAATGCAGAGTTCAAGTGTCATTTGTGTGACTACTGGGTAACACACCGACGTTTGCTTAAGCAGCACATGAAAGTACATGAGATCAATCACCAATCGCCTGCAGCAAAGAGCACTAACAGCTCAGCACAATCCTCACCCTGCAAATCGGACTTTTCAGAGTCCAGTAGTATCTATGATATGGTACAGCTTGCCAACTACAAACAGAAAGTCATCGCCTCTAAGATAATGCCGAGTATATCCCAGAAACCCCTGATGTCTCCCATGAAGATTGCCTGCTCAGTTGGTAACAAGCCTGGTTATGTGTTCAGAAATGGTGTCTACAAGAAACTTCAGAAGTGTAAGAAATGTCCCTACATGACTGTTCGTCTGAGGAACCTCAAATTGCATGAAATGATGCACAATGTCCGGATATCAAGGAACCCTCTGTTGAAATGTCCCCATTGTGACTATTATGTAGGTTCCAAGGGCTTAATTTCCCATCATCTCAAGGTGCACCAGCCTGGATACATGATGGATATCTCTGACACTACAATCTCTGACCTTGAAGCCATTGAAGGAGGTGGTGCAGAAGAGGATGTAGATGACAAGTCAGATATCGTTGACATCCCATATGAGAGCAAAGTGGACACACTTTATGAGATAGCCAGGTTCAAGAAATATAGCTGTGAAAAATGTCCCTATGCCAGTGCAAAACGATCGCATTATGAGCACCATGTGGAACTTCATGGCAGTAAGCAGCGATGTGGATGTAGATACTGTGACTACAGTGTGCCTTCACAGAACCTGTTAGCCCAGCATGAGAAGCTACATAGAACTCCCAACCAGAATCTTATGGTTGCCCAGTCTTTATCAAATCTTCTACAGCTACCTGAGGTCCCTGCAGACGTTGCTTTGGCCAGTGCTCTGCCACCTCTAGACACGAAAGAATCATTCACTGTCAATGTCACTCATGATCATCTGGAGCTGTTTGAAAATTCAGCTGATTCCGAATCTGAACCTAAAAAGCTCTATCGCTGTGATCGCTGTCCCTATGCTAATGTTCGACGTGACCACTTGCTGTCTCACCTTAAATTCCACATGATTCGCAGTGACCTGGCATGTCCCTACTGTGATTACACGGCATCCAAACAACACCTACTGACTCAACACATCAAAGTCCACTTCTCTCCTCTACCCGAGCTCTCCAACTGGCTAGCTCAAAATGGACAGATGGATCGAATGAAACAGTCAAAGGAACCTGATATCACAGAAGCTCTGTATGTGGCACAGTTACTTCAAGGGGAGATAAAAAAAGAGGCCTGTAGGAAAAATATGGAAAATGATCACTCCAAGAATGAATCAGGAGAGCAGATCCCTAGTACTGCAGAGTGTAGTCTGACTGACATCCCATCTAGTAGTTCGGACTGTCATTTGTCAACAACAGAACCAGTGGCAGTCAAGTCACCCACAGAAGTTGAGAATGTTGCAACAGAAAAGCCTTCTACTGACAATGGCTCTGAAGTTTCCCAGACTGAGGTATCTCTCCCATCTGTTGATGATGATTCAAAAGCAATCAACACTGCCTCAGAAGTTGAAACCCCTGAGTTAAACCAAACATCAAAAGCAGCCAGCTGTCCTGTTGAGAATGGGACATCTTCTAATGGAGATGGTCAGACAGAGTCTGCTATGCTGACTGACTCACCAGAGGTCACTGAGGTCAACGTTAAACTGGAGGAGCCTTGTAAAGTCGACAGTTACATATGCCAGTACTGTGATCGGGAATTTACTGCCTCGGGACAGCTTGTTATGCATGAGATGCAGCACCTGATTGGCAATAACTTCAAGGTATGCTATTCACTACACTTTTTGAACAAAGCAACCAAGAGGGAGAATTCAACATAGTTTGTAATTTTGAAAAATGTAAAGCAAACAAAATTCCCACCAGGTCATATTTTGTAAAAGTAATACTGGTAACTACAGATTTAGTAAATCAATCAAAATGTCAACAAACCTAGAGCAAAGAGCATTAGGCTTGTGATTGTGACAGTGTATTTATTTAAATAAAACTTGTATATGAATTTTGACAATCATAAGGGTTACAATGTAAAAATTTCACCCAGCCTGGCAGTTGAAACTGAAATTTTAACCATGTTATATTTTCACAACTGAAAAAATATAATCTAAAATGGATATTAGACACTGATAAATGATGATATTTATGTAATTGGCAGTAGATTTAGAAACTTTGAGCGGATTGTGCGGATAAGAGCCTATATTTATATCTTTGATATTGAGCTGAATCTTTTTAAAAACAATAATGACCTTATTTTGTGTATTTCAGGACTACCTTGTGGAATGTTATGTGAGTATAAATATGTTTCCATTGTAAAATCTTTGGATAATCAAAAAATTTGTTATAAGCATCTATTACTATGACATATTTCTGCGTATTTTCTATCCAGAAACTATCAGGCTGTTGCCACCATTTTGTTTTGAGTTACTGGTATAAAGGCCCAGGAATGGTGTTACTGTATACAGAGAAACAAGCAACCTTAGTTTATTTTTTGCACTGTTCTTCCTTTATTGTCAGGACAAAAATGTTATATGATCTCAAGTTTGTTTAAGCTAAAATCTAGTTTTTTTTTTTAAATTCTTTGATAAGCTGGTACTGCATGAAAATGAAAAGTTTTATGTGGGGGGCAAAAACCTTGGCTAACATTTTCGCATTTATTAAAAAAATGGAGAATTCCTGACAGCTTTTTTAGCCTATTGTCATTTAAATGACACTGACCAAAATGACTGAACTTGGTCTTCTTGGATTTGAATGTAACAGAGCTTAATATGTGCTATCACTTTTCCAGAGTCAAAGATAGTTCTACATCAGATTCCATATATAGCTTCCCTTTCATCCCATTCTGTGGTAATAGTTAGAAATAGGGAAACTCCTCCAGAATAAAAATGGTTATCACACCTAAGTTTTTAATCATAACCAGTGAGAATTCATTTGTGATTCAGAGATTGATTTCTCTATTATCATCCTATATTTCCCTTAATAGGCCATGCAATGTGTTTCATCATAAGTATTCAGTGTATACCTACGAAAGAGTGAATAGGAATTATATGGATATGTCATACATACATGACAATAAGCCAATGGCTGGTAATAAGCCCATCCCATATTGCTGTGTTATTAACAGATGCATATACTGTTTCATTGTCCAGTAACATGCCTACCCAATTACTTGAGTCAGAAACTCCTTATTACACGATAAAATGGTATTAATCTTGTGTTTATTGTGGTTTTTTTCCTCTTGTTGCACGCTACATTATAAAAGAGATTTTTTTAAAACTTAAGGCACCTTTTTCGAGATGGAAACCACAATCATTATATATATAACATTAAGGAATTTCATCTTGATTTTATTTTTGTTGAATTCTATTTTTATTTTTTTTTTGGTTTATAGTCACAATATCAACAAAAGTTTTTATATAATAAATATCTGAGTAGTTGTAGAATTTATTCTTATTTGATGGTTTTATACCTTTTTTTATATTTCTGTGACGTAGGAAGTCATTTTTTTTTGTATTGTGACGCTGATATTATTTTCAAGTTTCCCTTGAGTATGTGAAAAAAAATTTGACTGTGATTTCTGGTATAATTTCAGACCAAGACTGAAAAACCAGAAGAGTTGACAAATGGGGAGGGCAAAAATAACGAAAAAACTGTTGAAGCAGGAATGGTAAAAGATGATATCGTAAATGGTGAAGAAACCAAATGTCCACAAGAAGAAAAACCTGTACAGAATGGGGTCGGTGATAAACTGATGGAAGAGCCAAAAATAAATGGGGAGGAGCTTGTACATACAGATGAAACAGACAATCAATTGCAGGAGGAAAAACCTATGGAAACTGACCTATAGTATTGCACAGTAAAGTGATGGGATTATTTCAATCTGATATGATCAAGAAATACCTTTCTTTATATTTCGTAAATGTGAGTTTTTACAACTGAATGCTAGTCTTGATACTTGACTGATATCATGACAGAAATTCAATTTCTTTTGTGATCTTGCAAATTCACAAAAAAGGTTGTTACAATATTTCAGGAGGAAGGTTGTGTAAGGATCCTGTACTGTGAAAGTTTTCAAAACAATAATCAGTGTCATTAGAACATGACTTTTGGATTGTTCCTTAGCTGTGTCTTACGTAAAAGGAAATAAAATTCATGAAACAAGTTTTGATATCACCTCAACTTATGTCTTGGAAACTCAGGAGATTTCTTGGAAGTGATATTTTTTTCTTTGCAGGAATTATAAGTCAAAAAATATCACAGGAATAAGTGATTTACAATAATGTGGAACAGAAATATTTTTAGTGTGACCTGCTGGCTGAACACAGCTGTCTCAGACGTTCTCCCCATCTGCAATGTCTACTTGGCATGAAACTTGTGTATGCAAGTATGTAAACTGATCACTGTACCGGATATAGAGAGCTTGTTTGTTTATTGACAAAAAGAAAGGATCTGCATAAATTTAAGCATCACAACCATTAAGGTCATTAGCATGTCTAATGATTAGTGTGTGAGGCAAGTTTTTCAATGTCTGATATGTACATAGTTTGTAAGGCAAGGTTTACTATGTCTCTGATATGTATGTAATTTGTAAGGCATGGTTCACAGTATTTTATGCAAGAATTATGTAGTGCATTTTTTCTTGTGCAGTTAAAGCCAAAAGTTCACAAAAACACACAGGAGAAAATGAGACACTGACCGGTGCAATACAGGACATCAGACCAGAATGTATTTATGTCGTGTAATTTGGGGCCTTATTATAACAGTTGTTAATTGTAGATCACGCAGATTTGATAACATACACATGGTGCTTTTGTTGTAGAAATTGTTTTTTTTCGCAAGTGAACAAAGTATAAGGTATTAATTCTACTGATATTAAGGATGTGAGAATGACTTGTCTTGGCTTTGATAAAGTAAACTACTGATGATCTGAGGTGTGGAATAATACAGAAGAATTAGTTTAGAATCATATATTTTTGTGTGGTTCAGTTTTTGTGATGGTTTCTCTTTTCAATAAATCACTATCTTATGTACCCTTATGTTCGTGGATAAATATTGCTTAACAAAGCTACTTTTAAAATTTTAAGGACATATGAATTCATTGATTGAGAGTACCGACAAAAGCAACAATAAATCCTCCTTGAAAATTGATCATTTTCCTGTATTTTATCTTATGTATGATTTTGTTTTCTTCATAGCTAAATTAGAAGCTTTTACCTGGCTTAAGATTTAATATGGTGTGTTGGATAACACACTTGCTTTTCATCAAAATTTGGCCACCTCAATTTGACTAGTAAGATTATTGGGTCAAATTCCAAACCACATAGTTCTAAGTGTTTTCAGGCTTTCTCCACCATGAACTTCCATCCAAGCCAGTAAAAAGGATAAATGAAATAAAGTTGAACTTTAAATTATAACTTTAAGACACTTGTATTTGGTCAGATAATTTCCGTGCATCACATGTCTTGAAAATCACAGGTTAGTTTTGTGGATGTCAGCCTAACCCAGATCAGATGATAACATTGATTTGTGAAGTTATTTATTTGTCAGATGTAATTACCACAGTATTTATAGCCTAATAAGCTTAGCATGCCCCTACTTATTGTAGAGTGTTCTAGTGTCCACACCCAGTGTTGGTAATGGTAGATAATGTTTATAGATATGTAAGGGCTTGAGAATGGTAAATATTAAAGGTCAAATAAATTCACATGTATGGTTATAGGGAATATTTGACAGTAAGGGGATTTAAGCTAAATACATAGCCACAATTTTTGGTAGATATATCAATATTTAGACCTTAGTAGGTAATAAATATAAACATGATAAATGTAAAAGGTAACCAAATTTTATACTGCAATTAAAGCTCATGGGGTATAAACATTATCTTTTCTCAAGGCGAGAGAGAGAAGGGGGGGGGGGGTGTTTACTATAGGACAGTTAAATAGCATCTTTTGGTGTTTTTGTTTAATTCAAATAGATATGGATGACCTTATAACCAGTCATGAGCCTATTTACAGATAAATACTAGAATCTGTACAGTGATTTTGAATATTTTCTGTGATAAAGCCCATTCAGGGTGTGAAGTGACCATGCTTTAATTTACTATACCACAGACAAAAACATAGCCACTTTCAGGAATTTTCCTGTCATGTCCATTACACTGTAAACACCTGTTTTAATGGTTATCTGATTTCAGCACATTTTACACTACAGAGATTGCACTTCCTGTATGTTGTCAATTTAGAAATAATTGCAAATACATGAATTCATTGTGGTGTTAATTTGTCCAAAATTTCAGTTTTTGTTGGACCAAATTAAGTATGTTTTCAGCATAGTTTTCACAATCCATAGTCAAGTACCAGGTATATGTTAAGGTATATGATTGAATCATGTTGCAGAACATCCTGATACTTCTCACCATTGGGTCGTTGATGCTGGACTGTACTAGGAAGTAATTTATATTCATTGTTGTATAATGGTATAGCCAATAAATTATTACTGTACATTATTGCATGTGTTTGTATGTACACGATTACGTGTGGGCGTGTATGTGTGCAGTTATTGATGTTTGAGTGTGTTATTGATATTTGTGCATTATATTTTGTTACATTAGATCTGGGATTAAAGAATTTAGATATCTGAGCAGTGTAATTATTGTGGACTAGGATTGACTTGTATGTAAAATATTTGAGCTAATTAATTTTTCTTTAAACTGTATTTACACAGGACATTTTGTGTTGTTTGAGGAGGAAAGACACAGTCATCCTCCTGATATTAGCTCTTTCCAGTTTTTACAAAAAAATCAATATTGGCTTGGTTCAGAGCTGAAAGATAATTAATTTTGGTGTCAGGATGGCAATTACAGCTTTATAACTTCAATTAAGGAATTTCAATCATCAATGACACTCTAGACTATTGTAAATGAAATTTCTGAAGTTCACTGAATACAATGTGTCATGTTGACCATGCAAAGCCAGTGGAGGATGGCAATTTCTTCTTAAAATTATTGCTCCACCCCTGCCAAAGGAGTTTCAGTGGTATTTCTGATCACCATATTTCCATATGCACTGCATCATTTCACAAGTAATACCTGTAAATTTTCTTTACAATTGCTTGATTTATATACCTGTAAGTTTTGTTAACAAATGCTTGACTTCATTATGTTTTTTCTTTGGAATGATTTCAAAGCAAATTATGAATATTAAAATTCATTTAATATATAAAAGAATTTCATATTTACATCTATGATACATCAGATTTTCCTGAAATCATTACCTTTCAAAAGTGATGTAGATTAGTCAGATCTGAAATTTTTATCAATCTAAAAAATGGAAATTGTCTGTATCAACTGTAATAATTTACTGCTGATAGGTCAGATTTATCTTTTCCTATGTCATTTTATCAGTTGCTTCCTGTGAAACTTTTTGTCTGAAAACACAATTTAAAATTTTCGCTTGTTAGAAAATTTGATTTTATTTCATTATAAACTACAAGTAGTAGTTTTCAGTAACGAAGTTGAACAAAGGTTTAGCTATATTTTTATGGTTGGCATGATATCTAAATCTTGTCTGTTGTTTTTGGTTTCGAGAAAAATGTACTTTTAAAGTGTAATAGAAACAATTAAGATTGTTGGTAAATATGTAACTATGATCATGAGATTTTCCTTCTTTCTTTAAGACCAAATTACTGCAGATATTGAGTCCATTCAAATTTGCTCTTTGACAATTGTGATGTTGAAGCATCAGTGTTATTTGTAAATTCTTTATAATTCTTTCTAAGTCAATCTTGCAATACAATATATTTGAGCACTTTGTTATGAAAGGAAAGTTTGATACTATGTCATATCCATGAGTCTGGTACTCTAACTGACTTATTCATGACCATCATTCCAATTCAAGGAATTGACTGTTAAATGGAGATATTTGACATCAAAAGAGTGTAAAAAATTGCCAAAATGTTGTTTTTGTGATAGAAAGATAAGGTTTGATTATTGAGAGTGTTCCAGATTAATGCAGGTTATTATATTTGACAAAGATCTTTTCTTTTGAGGAAATAATTTAAATCTTACCCTAAGAACTGTGTTTTTGTGTCATTTGCAATATAATGCAAGATGTTTATGTTAATGACAACCAAAAGCACAAAAGAGAAGTTGGGACATATACTTCATGTTTAACTTTCATTTTAGAAATAAAATTGGTGAAAGTTTCAATGTTCAGGTATTATAGAAATATTAGTGTAATGATCCCTTATATTTGCTATAAATTGTCAACCAAAGAGTTAAATGATGTTATTATAGATTATTGTTATAAAAAAAGCTTTTCTGACTTTTTGTACATGGTTAACTACATGCAGGTGTTTTCCCTGAGCAAGTGTAGATCTGTTACAATTTTTGTGTGCCTTTGTTATTTTTTTTGTGGAGTTATCTCCCCTGTATTGTGGAATTCCTGTCCATGTACTGGTGTGAGCCTACTGTATACCTTCTAAGTCATGACGGACCTGCTCATTTTAAAGACTTGCATTGTCTCTGTCAGGGCTGTTAGAAAGCAAAATAGATAGGTAGGTCTGTCCTTATTTCATAAACAAACTATGCTGGTTCAATCGCTTAGATTAACTTGAACACAAAATAGGTTTATACTAAGATATCATCCTTAAAAATGATCCAACATTGCTATACTTCATATTCCACGGTATTCAAATCTATGCATGTTTGAAAAAAAAACTAAAACAAAAAAAAAGATTGCACTGTGATAATGAGAATGCAATAACAGACATAGTTAATACATTATCAATTTGAGTCGGACATATTAATAGTTCAACTATGAACCTATTCCATTTCATGATTAATGAGTAATATTAATTCACTATCTTAATGACTTACGACATACTATATTGTACAAGGTACACTAATTTGTAACTTCATTGTGTCTCTAATGATGAAAGATGATACCTCGGTGGGTTGTGGAGGCTTCACTGGGCACAGGCCATTGTATATCATTTCATTTTATGTAGATGCAATATAAAGCCAAATCACACTGTTTTTATGATTCATAAGTTACCTTTTGTAATCCATTTAATTAGTGACATATTGAAACTTCCAAAAGTTTGATGTTTTAGTGAAAGTGGTTGGAGGATTTATTTGTAAAGCACTTTAGAAAATTGTTTTTTCACCGACTGATCATGTAGGAGATTGTCTTCTCAAATGACACTTGTTACACCATGTGAATAAGCTAATTGAATGTAATACACAGTGGTAATATTACACAATAAAGATATTTATGTAGCCCTGTCTTTGTGTTTGTTGTGTACTATATAACACGATGTTAGGGACTAGTAGGATTTACATGTAGGGTTTTTTATCAACAGAAATTTGGCTATTATGGTAACGAGGTCACTAATGGCCAACAAAAGCTCATCAGTCCTTGATTAATTTTGATGAAACATATTGTAACTAATCAAAGCCAGTAATTTGACACATCAGGTGTTTTGAGAATTTTATTTTGCAGTTTTTTTTTCCTTGCTTCATTGTAGTCTGTCGTAAACAATTGACTTCTTAATAACCAAAAGGCACAGGATGCTGATATTAGGCCAGTAGCATGCTGGGATGAAGGTCTTTCACGTTTGTTCAAATGGATGACTTTGGCCTTTATTCAAAGTCACAGGGGTCAGTAAGCTAAACTACGACATCACACAGTGTTATCAGTTCTGTTTGAAACTTAAGCCCTTCAACTTAGAAAGAATAGAACACTTTGTAAGTATGCGTATATCAGTTCTATTCTGCCACCCAAAAGCTGAGACTTGTGGACAGATTCTAAAACTGTCAAATGGCCTGAAGATCTATGGTGACCGTTATGGCCCATGGGTTTTTTAGGTCGCCTGAGCCAAAGGCTCATGGTGACCTATTGCCATCATGACATGCTGTCGTGCATCGTAAACTTTCACATATTCGACTTCTTCTCAAGAACCACTGAATGGATTTTGACCAAACTTGGCACAAAGCATCCCCATGGGAAGCCGCTTCAAGTTTGCGAAGGAAAAGGGCATGGCCCCAATAGGGGCCCCAGGAGGGGGAAAAAGGGGGTAAAATTAGGTAAATCTTTAAAAATCTTCTTCACATGAACCAACAGTCAGATTTAGTTCCTATTTGATATTTACGGTCCTTATGGCATGGTCTACAAAGTTTGCGAATGAAAAAATAATCGGGTCAAAAACTGCCCCACTAGGGGGCGCTCAAAAGGGTCAAAAATTCAACTTTGACCAATTTTAACCAAATTTGGTAGAAAGCATCCCTTAGTGAAGAACATATGAAATTATGTTGAAAAAAGAGATTATGTCCCCTTTGGGGCCCATAAGGGGAGTAAAAGGGGCCATATGTAAAAACCTTCTTTAAATGACTTCTTCTCAAGAACCATTAAATGGATTTTAACCAAACTTGGCACAAAGCATCCCCATGGGAAGCCGCTTCAAGTTTGGGAAGAAAAAGGGCGTGGCCCCAATAGTGGGGAAAAGGGGAAACTTGATACAAATGTTCTACACAAGGTCCTGGCAAGTTTCTGGGGCGATTCAAAATCCAAGATGGCCACCCTGGCCTCTGTTTGGCTAAGACATTATGGACTTCCTCTCATCTTCAAACTTGGTACAGATGTTTTACACATGGTCCTGCACAAGTGTTGTTACATTTTTGCAACATTTTAATCTCTCCAGATTATTGACATATATTCTTCAGGTGACCGTTAAGGCCCCTTGGGCCTCTTGTTTTGGTTTTTTAGCCGTTTCAGTCCATCATCACATTATGGTTGAATTTCAAATCCGTCATTGGGCTAGCCGTTTAAAAGCGTCTTCATCTCAGGAATCGAACGTTCAATATTTGGAATATAGCCGATTATACTGCTAATTTAGTGTATAGCTCTACGTTCCGGTACTTTCCATATACAATTTTACAAGCGAGATCAGGGCACAATATCCAAAATAATGAGTCCCATATCAAGAGATATTCTGGGTCCACAAGCTTTGAGCGAGTCCGAAATGAAGATCATAGCACAGCCCAGGGGACTGAATCTGAGTCCCTAAATAACTGATACACGTATACGTTGGACGAAGTAGAGTACCACTTGGAACGTAGATGTGTACTAGTATGTTAAATCCATTACAAAGGATAACTAGACGAGTAAGATGGCCAACAGACTGCCATCTTGGATTTTGACAGCTTACGTTGAAATTACTGCTATTATTCGAAACGAAGTTAACTATTCATTGTCATTAGTTATACGAACGTTTGGTTTTTTAAACGTACCAGGCAGAATGGCTTTCTGGCATTGATGAGACTTGTCGGACGATTTTTTTACAGAATGTCCTCTTGATGGTTTTGTTAATCATTCTTCCATCTGTAAACAATTAGTGAGATCCTGAATGATAAGTTACAGAGAAGTGATCTTCACCGTCGATCCGTACTAAACCAATACCAGACCAATCACATGCATACGAAAGCTTGAACAGGCTTATCTAGAAAGTAAAACTTTATCAGAATTCCTATTTTTGATCTTGTGGTCCTCCAGGAGGGCTTTTAACACATAATTAATATAAATCAGTTCAAAATTAATAATATGGCACGTTTATATTCTTCTTAACATCTAACAACGTCAAGAGCAAATTTGTTTGGAAAAATGTAAATATTCCAATAAAACATAAATTCAATGTCGTAGTTTTACTCAAAGTCAGTTGTATTATTTACGTATTTTAATAGGTGAACGTTTTATCCTCCGAGTCTTACATTCAAAACAATTTTCTCGCGTTAAACATCAAAATTCTAAACAGCATATATACCCATGTACAGCAAAATATCAACTTCCCCAACTGTGTCTAAAGGTTTGAAACCAAGAGTCCTAGCTCAGCCAGGAATGTGGCTGTTTGTGTTAGCAGATTTCTTGTCTCTGTGACTCATCCCTGTTAAATTGTTCTAGTGAATTGTTAGTGAGACCCGAACCAAAAACCTGATGTCAAATTGACAGGTCTCATGTATTAAATCAGTCTAATAGTGATTGATAAGACCAATCACCTTACAGAACGTAGTTTAAATGACTCGCTTTGATAAGGTAATACATTTGACAGACTGTTGAGCATGCCTATTTAGCACGTTATTAAACCATGCATATGCTGCATTCTACTGGTCTTATATTTAGCGGTAATACATAACATGAAAACAATGCGTTAAAGAGTTAAACATGATTTATTATTTATAAAAAACATAGTAGGTTACACACATATTACTGTCCTTTATAGTAATATCAATTAAATATACCCCATACAACACATAACATGTCTGTCATAAAACAATATGACTCCGTTACCGTTACAGATAAATGAGTAAAGTTAAAAAAAACTCAATTCGTACTGTACTGAGAAAGCTGCACACACATTTTATATAATTAAAAATGTTTGCAAAAATACTGTGTTAAACGCAGCAGACGTGCATGGCATTGTTACTGACTTTCTGTAAACAGTGACGGTGACCTTCTGTAACCTTGAAAACAAAACAGTCGTATGTTTCATAAAGCACCTGAAGCATGCAGTATGTAAAGCTCCTATAAATAGGATAGTGACCACACGTCAAGGCCCCAGTTTCGTGGATATTCCTTAACATCTTCACTCACTGTGATAGAAAAACATTTACTTACCTTACATTTAAGGAGGGTTTCGTAACTTATGTTGTGCTTTCCGTTGAGTAATTTCAAGTTAAGGAAAAAGTAAGGAATATCCATGAAACCGGGACCCGTTCAAGACCTGTATTCTTAATCTGTCAGCTATTTTACTCATGCATCAGTATTCTTGGGGGTCGGGGGGATTATATCACTATTAGTACTGCCTATTCATTTCGGGACCTTGATGTAAAGATCACGTATACGTGTCAGGTTACTTAACTCGATATTCTGCATACAATGTGAATAGTTTGACGGACGAAAGGACGAACGAGGCACTACTATCATCAAGGCGGACGTGTGGAAATGTGGTTACTGCACGCGCGTAAACAAATCTGCCTATTGTCTAACAGATACGGCCACCTGGAAGTCCAGCGGTTTAAGCGTTAGTCCGTATTTGCTGTCAATAACGGGCTTTTTTCCGGGGATCGTTTTGAATAAACATTTTTGAATCATTGATGCGAAAAACATAAACAGCTCCATCCTTGCAAGTTGTTCTCCTGGACATTTTCGTCTTCCTGCGCCGAACGGAAGGAACATGTCAGTCATGGTCTTGTCAACATTTCCTTGAGAATCTAAAAATCTTGAAGGGTCAAATTTATTGGGGTTATTAAACACTTCCGGGTCACGATTGACAGACCACAGATTGACGAATACCAGAGTATTTGCTCTGATGAAATGTCCGTCAAGGACAGTATCCCGGGTTGTGCTGTGTGGCAATGCGAAGGGAAAGATGCATGAGTGACGCATAGTCTCGAAAAGACATGCCTCAATGTATGGCAGATTTTCTATATCGTCAAACGAAATTTGCCGGAGACCGACTTTCTCTCGGATTTCTGCGTGCGCAGCTTCCTGAACATCCGGATGCGTGGCCATGAATAACACTGACCACTGTAGACTACTGGCGATGGTGTCGAATCCTGCACCAATCAGTTCTTGAACCGTTGTTAGGATGTGCTCGTTCGTAAGTCCGACGGCCTCCTTTTCTTCCTCTGGGATATCGTGGGTTGCTTTGATAAGGGCGTCGGTTATATCCCGCATTTGAGACGCGTCATACGTGTCTAAATGTTCCTGTCGTTTCTTCAAGCTAAATTTGTTCATGGTGTCCAAGATACCAATAAACTTTTTGAACGAACCTTTAGTGAAATGTCTCATCCACGGCATGATGTCGACGGGGTTGCCAGCACCTGCGAATGCCATAAATTCATCATTCATTTTTATTAAATGAGTGAAATCCTCATCGTCCCGCTGGTAACGTTTACCGAAACACAGAGCACAGATAATGTTACCAACTGACAGGTAGATCTCGTTGTGGGGATTGAACGGCGCGCCATCGGAGGCTATGAGATTGCTGGTTAGTACGTCTGCCTCCGACGCTATGGCCATTTCTATTGGGTTGTTCCGTTTATTGGTGAAAAGGGCCAGAGAGTTTTGGGCAATTCGGCGATGCATTTTCCATCGAGGTCCGAAATCTCCAAATCCCATACTGTTACCGTTGGCTATAAATTTGAAGGAATAAAAGTCAGGTCGACCCGCAAAGTCTTCGGCTTGTTTAATCATGGCCGACCGAATCGTTTTAAGACCATTCAATACTATAGTCGGAGTACTTCCCATTGTGATTTGAAACACATCTCCATACTTCGCTCGAAGTTGTGTTAGATATTCATGAGGCTTTTTACCAAGACTTGCCAAATTTCCGATAAGAGGCCAAGGAAACGGACCAGGTGCCGTGGAGGCCGATTTCCGGTTCCTAGATGCCCAAACCAACGAAAATACTATTACACATCCGAGCATAACAATCGGTGATACAGACAAACAACAAACCAGTGTCCCTGGAATAAACGCCATCTTGTATCAATTAATTTCCAGTAATTTGTAGAACACCACTTTTACATACCAAATGTTTTTGCTTTGGAGAATATGTCGTGTAGCATTGATCAAGTTTAGCCACGCACAGTTCTGAGGTAAATCCGCCGGTATGGGACAGCTGTTGTTTGTGTCGGGGCTGGCGGACAACTGTGGTCATGACCCAGCCAATAGTTATACAACTGTCTGGACAATAAATATCTTTTAAACGCTACGCTTCACATCCATTGTTCGAAGCCACTCCTACATCTGTCAAACTCGGCCTTTCAGTCCCTCGTGTAGCCACTTGCTCATAACTGACCACATTCCTTGTCCAGATTAAATGTCAGTGGTCAAGACCTCTGACAGCGGTCATTAACATCGTCGCCTACTACAAAGTATGTCCAGTATGATGGTTTCGTAGACTCCACGACCTTTGGAGCTGTCAGCTACATCATCTCGTAAAGCGTGGGTACTGGAGATTGTGTAGGGTGTGTCCTTGGTCTCCGGACTATACTGCATAGACCAAGTGACGTGTTTGGCCACGACAGATTTGTTTTAATAAAAAACATAACATATATGGACTGTAGTGTGCAATCTATATGCATGTGATATGATCTCTCAATTCTGCTGATAATTTTTCCATTCCAGCAAATATTGTATAGGAATGATATATACATATATTGGAAGTGCTTACAGAACATATATATTTATCAAATATGACAAGCCGTAGGAGTTTTGACCAATTATAAACTTTTATTACATATGTCCATTTGTTATATAAATATCTGGTGATACTTAAGGAAATCTAATCGTGTCAGAAGTAGAGGGGTTTGTAGTTTAAAAAATGATCAAAATACGTGTATATAGCTACTTCTTAACAGAATTCGTCGCATTAAACCTTGGGGCAAGTGAGCTTCATTGTACACATCAAACTACACTTAAGGTGTTAGTCGTATAAAACAGGCACAGGAAATATGATACCTATTTACATTGTATCTATATCCATCCCCTAAAACCTACATGTACATACCTATCTGTACCCGTAACATAAGATATGGACAGGAAGTACATACCTGTCTGTACCTGTAACATAAAACATGGACAGGAAGTACATACCTATCTGTACCCATAACATAAAACATGGACAGGAAGTACATACCTATCTGTACCCGTGACATAAGATATGGACAGGAAGTACATACCTATCTGTACCCGTGACATAAGATATGGACAGGAAGTACATACCTATCTGTACCCGTGACATAAGATATGGACAGGAAGAACATACCTATCTGTACCCGTGACATAAGACCTGTAACATAAAACATGGACAGGAAGTACATACATACCTGTAACATAAAACTGTACATGCCGTGACATAAGATATGGACAGGAAGTACATACCTATCTGTACCCGTAACATAAGTTATGGACAGGAAGTACATGCCTATCTGTACCCGTAACATAAGATATGGACAGGAAGTACATACCTATCTGTACCCATAACATAAAACATGGACAGGAAGAACATACCTATCTGTACCCGTAACATAAAACATGGACAGGAAGTATATACCTATCTGTACCCGTAACATAAAACATGGACAGGAAGTACATACCTATCTGTACCCGTAACATAAGATATGGACAGGAAGTACATACCTATCTGTACCCGTAACATAAAACATGGACAGGAAGTATATACCTATCTGTACCCGTAACATAAAACATGGACAGGAAGTACATACCTATCTGTACCCGTAACATAAAACATGGACAGGAAGTATATACCTATCTGTACCCGTAACATAAAACATGGACAGGAAGTATATACCTATCTGTACCCGTAACATAAAACATGGACAGGAAACACATACTTACTTGTACCCGTGACATAAAATATGTATCGTTCCTATGTACTTATATTTATAGGTTCAGTAATAAAATGGATAGGAAAATATATAAACCTGTATTCACAACATGACATATATAGAACCTACATCCCTGACAGTACCAGTCACATTAAACATATATAGAACCTACATCCCTGACAGTACCAGTCACATTAAACATATATAGAACCTACATCCCAGACTGTACCCGTCACATTAAACATATATAGAACCTACATCCCAGACTGTACCCGTCACATTAAACATATATAGAACCTACATCCCTGACAGTACCAGTCACATTAAACATATATAGAACCTACATCCCTGACAGTACCAGTCACATTAAACATATATAGAACCTACATCCCTGACTTCACTCCCTTTACATTAAACATATATAAAAGTTCAACATCCCTGACTTCACTCCCTTTACATTAAACATATATAGAACCTACATCCCTGACTTCACTCCCTTTACATTAAACATATATAGAACCTACATCCCTGACTGTACCGTCATATCAAACATATATAGAACCTACACCCCTGACTTCACTCCCTTTACATTAAACATATATAGAACCTACACCCCTGACTTCACTCCCTTTACATTAAACATATATAGAACCTACATCCCTGACTTCACTCCCTTTACATTAAACATATATAGAACCTACATCCCTGACTGTACCGTCATATCAAACATATATAGAACCTACACCCCTGACTTCACTCCCTTTACATTAAACATATATAGAACCTACATCCCTGACTCTACCCGTCACATTAAACATATATAGAACCCACATCCCAGACTGTACCCGTCATATCAAACATATATAGAACCTACATCCCTGACTGTATCCGTCACATTAAACATATATAGAACCTACATCCCTGACTGTACCCGTCACATTAAACATATATAGAACCTACATCCCAGACTGTACCCGTCATATCAAACATATATAGAACCTACATCCCTGACTGTATCCGTCACATTAAACATATATAGAACCTACATCCCTGACTGTACCCGTCACATTAAACATATATATAACCTACATCCCTGACTGTACCCGTCATATTAAACATATATAGAACCTACATCCCTGACTCTACCCGTCATATTAAACATATATAGAACCTACATCCCAGACTGTACCCGTCACATTAAACATATATAGAACCTACATCCCTGACTGTACCCGTCATATTAAACATATATAGAACCTACATCCCTGACTGTACCCGTCATATTAAACATATATAGAACCTACATCCCTGACTGTACCCGTCATATTAAACATATATAGAACCGACATCCCTGACTCTACCCGTCTGATGTAATGAAGGTTCCATTTTTTATATGCAATGGAATGCTTCAATGCCATTTGACCTTTACTAATAAAAGAAAACTCAAAACGAAATAAGTACATGACTTATTTGTTATTATACTTTTATATTATTTCAAATTCACCTTAATTCAAGCTGCAGTTTGCAGTAAACAATGCTGTCAAATGTCAAATGATTTTTAGATCAAGGAAAGTGACCTAAGCCATATGGTTGTTGAATGTCGTTTGAAAATCAGTCCAGCCACATTGTAACCAGCTGAGGATGAGCTCTATACTTAGATACACGTGTTACAGTCACAGTGTATCCAGCTGAGAATTAGATCCATACTTAGATACACGTGTCACAGTCACAATGTAAACAGCTGAGGATGAGCTCTATACTTAGATACACGTGTCACAGTCACAGTGTATCCAGCTGAGGATGAGCTGGATCATTAGATACACGTGCCACATTCAGTGTAACCAGCTGAGGATGAGCTCCCTCTTTAGATACACGTGTCACAGTCACATTGTAACCAGCTGATGATGAGCTCCATACTTAGATACACGTGTTACAGTCACATTGTAACCAGCTGAGAATTAGATCCATACTTAGATATACGTGTCACATCCACAGTGTAACCAGCTGAGAATGAGCTCCTTACTTAGATACACGTGTCACAGTCACATTGTAACCAGCTGAGGATGAGCTCTATACTTAGATGCACGTGTCACAGTCACATTGTAACCAGCTGAGGATGAGCTCCATACTTAGATACACGTGTCACAGTCACAATGTAACACTTTTTTTTCAGTATAAGGCATTCTTTCATATTACTGACTACACCCAAACCAGATTTTGACTCTGATTATCTCCCTTCCATCCTCCCAACTGCATGAACCAGGTAATAAAATAACCTACCTCTATTTCTAAAATATCATATCTATATTATTTTATACATATTATAGTACAGGTGTTTTATGAATACGATCCATATAATATAAGTGTATATGCTTATTTAGGACAAAATATATACAATGTAGTACAAACCAAACTATGCCTAGTTCTGTGAGGTTGGCGCATTAATACCCATTTAACTTAAAAGATATCAAAATAAAATCGTAAAAGGATTATCTGTTTCAAATATCTCTAAAATGATAGAATCCCTGTACAAGAAATTTTGGTGTAAAGGTACAACATCAGTTTCTGGTTACCTAGGCTACTTATCTGAGACTGACCAACGGATGTTTGCTGATAAATGCTTTGGAATTGCTTAAATTTTTATGGATTTTTCAAAGAACAAAGAACATACTCTATATTTAAGATAATTAGAAAACACAACAATGTTTTGTTGTATTTGTGTACATGTACACTTACATGCCGTAAACAATATATGACGTAACGTCGATCGGCGTACACGTATTACTGTGCACGGCAGCGCCTATCTTCATTTCCATATTTAAGGTAAAATTATGAGGTAATGAATATCATATGGTTCAAAATATATACTTACGTCTCAATTGTTCTGGAAAATCATGACTTTCGACAGAATAAATTGTTGTGTTGTGTTTTATCCCCTTTTCCCTTTTTTTCAATTTGGGTACACGCACGTTGTTTGATACCGGAAGTGACAACGTCTCATATTCGCCGTTTTATTATTAAACACGCGCGCTCTTAAAGGCAAAATACACAAACAAACTCCATGTTTAAGACCCTACGTCAATTACACGTTAAACATAGTGGGAATCTCCAGGCACAACTGTCATGGAC